GGATGATCCAACCACTCAACCACTAGATGTCGCTGAAAACAACAAATCATACACACTGTGCCTTTAAAGTGAACTTTTGACAAAAATTGAAACAGATTCTTAAAGAGCTCATCTTTCTCAGTACTGTGATTTAACTCAGTCGTGACGAGGACGTACTGACTTCAGGGTTTAAATCTCATTAATGGTTATCCGTTCAACGCCACAATTAATCTGGAAAAGAAAATTGAAACAGGATGAAAAGAAAACCATGAATATAGCACGTCATTTTTAAGTATCTTTACTATAATTACACAGACAGAAACAATGTACAATAAGTAAATGTTTTCAGGCCCGCTTCACATCGAGACGCTGGATTCGTTACTCTGCAGCATGAAGCGTCACACGGCAAAAAAAAAMAMAAMAAAAAACTGTTGCATYGAGTACAAAAACTTCAAAAGAACTGAGTTAATGGAACACACAAAAAAACACATTTACAGATTTACATGAATTCAGTCTGCTCTCTTCCTCCCAGCTCCCACACTCCTCCTCCTCCTCCTGATGAGGCCAAATTAAATGAGGTCATCGCTGTTGTAACATTTATTTATCTGGTCAATATAAAAACCTTCAGAACTAAGGACACTAGTTACTTTCCTCTACATTAAATCAAATTCAAACATGCCACAATCTGTTGTTTTGCTCTTTAGATTAAACCTAAACGAGTGGTCGATGAACGGGGAACCCAGATCTGGATCAACTAAAAACTGCTCAGGATAAAAAATTAAATAGAAATAAATGAAACGTCTCTGTTTACTTTAACATAGCTTACACACATGTTGTGCACGGACGAAATGAAGGCACAAACTGATGAAAAGAGCACAACTGAAGTTAGTCTGTTTACACAGCTGCTTTAAAAAAAACAATTTCCTAAACTCTGCGTCTCTCAGGTCGTTCACATTAACACAAAATAATCTCAGACCGTCAGATTTCTTACACCTGCGTCGTCACAGATGCACCTTCAAACGGTCGGAGGAGGAGAGGAGGAGGAAACGAGGTGGATAAAAATGGCCTCTGGTTCTTAAAGAAAGGGAGGAAACGTGGTTCAGTTTCTGATGAGACCACTCCTGTGGCTCCTCTCGGTCCGCTCTGAGGCAGTTAAGAAGGGTGCGTGTGATTGTATGCAGCAAATCATAGCACCAAGGTTCACAGCAGCTCCTCCTCCCGGGCTGAGGGGGCGGGGACGGCGGCGGGGGCGGAGCCTCGCGCTCACGCCCGCTCTTTGCGCTTCAGTTTGGAGGACTTTTTGACGGCGCCGTTCTTGTTGAGCAGCTTCAGCACTTTGTCCTTGTGGTCCAGAACTTTCATCATGGTGTCCCTGGCCTCGGTCACCTGGTCCATCACCAGCTTGCAGCGCTGCATGTTACCCTGCAGACAGCGAGCTGACCGTTAGCACTGAAAACCTCTCACAGGCCTATTCGGATCGAGCTCAATCGGATCAGAATAATCCGAATGGGCTGTTCACTTGACGCATTCTTATTCCGAATGGCCGTTTAATCCGATTAYTTATGTCCATGTAAACGTAGCTGCTGAGAAATCACAGGCAGGCTCAACCTCACTGCACTGTCATGGAGAGTGAACACAAAACTGCAGGAAACACATGAATTTTCACTTTGAATCACAATAAGTTACAAGCATGAAGTTCTACAGAGCAGCAGGAGTGAATCTAAACTATGATTGATTTATAATAGCAGCTGAGGCTAAAGCAGAACCATAGATTTATCATCACTGTACTTGTTGACATAATGAATAAAAAAGGACTGATGATGTAGAAATCATAAAAACAATTAATAAGTCTAAGTTACTGACTGACTTCAGGTCTGGTTTAGATCATTATTTATTAATTATATACATTTTGGATATATATATATATATATATCTCATGTTTTACATGATTGTTGAATGAAATTTAACAATTTTTAATTTATTGTAGAAATATTACAGATGATTTGTGACTTGTTAACCTGAGACCACGCCCATCTTTTAAAGCTCATTATGTCGTAAAATGTCTCATTTCAGCAGGAGTGTAAACGTAAAGTCATTTAAAAATGTAAACCTAATGAAAGAATTAGATCCCATCCACCATCACTTGCTCCTGTTTCCAGTGGTGGACAGTAACAAAGTACTTTTACTTTATTAATGTAATTAAGTACATTTTTTGAGTATCTGTACTTTACTTGAGTAGTTATTTATTTGGGAACTTTTTACTTTTACTCCACTACATTTCAAAGACAAATATTGTACTTTTTACTCCACTACATTTCTAGGAAGCTTGTAGTTACTCGTTCCTTTTAGATCAGCATATTATAATCCGCTGTAAAAAAAAAAAAGAAAAGAAAAAATACGCAGTTCCGGTTTTTCTTTTCATGAACTGCAATTGGCCACAAGCTATGTTCGTCACAAAGGTAACCAATCACATGCGTAG